TTTCTTAACTGGCTCAATAGAATGATTTTGCCAATTCCTTTTTCTCCTAGTCCTCTAGTTTGTGACCAACTCAAGCAATGGACTGCGTACCTACTAGTTGCCGTTTTGTGGTCATTCTGCCCCACACTTCCATACTTGTTCCCACTCAACGGGAACCTTTCCAGCTAGCTGATGAGACAGACATGCAAGAGCCTCTTCCAGGGTGGGATTTAAAAGATATCTTTAGAAATGATTTGCAATCCTAAGTCATGAGGCCATGTCCCGCCTCTCTCCTCTATTTATTCTCACTCATGATTTCACCCAGGTTTAAATGCCATCTGGATCCCAATGACTTCCACATTTATATCTGCCATTCTCTCTCCTGAAATCCAGACTTGTGTATTGAACTGCCCACTCCTCACCTCTTCTTGGATGCCCAATAGACATTTTAAGCTTACCACGTTTGAAACTTCTGATTCCCTTTCCTACCCACTAATAGGCTTCATCACAGCCTTCCCCAACTCCACTGATGGGAATGTCTTCCCTCCAGGTGCTTAGGCTAAAGGCTGTACAGTCATCCCTGACTTCTCTCTTTTTCTCACAATGTAAATCCAGCCTATCATGGCTCTCCTTCAAAATATACCTAATCATTCCTCACCATCCCCTTCGCATTGGCCTGGGATCATGACTGACATTGTTGAATCATTTGGATGGTTGCAATTATCTCCCAGCATTGACCCTAGTCCCTCTACAGTCTCTTTCCAAATATGTAACCAGAATGATCCTTGTCAGCAGATCATGTCACTCTCTGCTCAAGGTCTTAGACTGATTTCTCATTATAATGGCCTCCAAGAGAAAGATCGATGGGGAGGACTGACCCATCTGGAACAAAAGCCTACATATTCTTGGGTAACTGTGTGCTAATGAAGGTAGTGCTACGGTGTCCTTCTGCATGATGCTGATTTCCACCAGTGTTCCCATGCCATGGCACAGGCAGGAGTTGCCCAAAGCTTGGGATGGGATGAACAAGAACTTTGAACGTGCCCATAAGTTCTGTGGTTAGTTTCTGTCCCTTCCAAGTGGAAACAAATGCAAAAAGCAAGGAGATGGCTCTCGAAACTGAACCAAAGTTAGAATTAAGAAAAAAAACATGCTGCCCAGTTTCATGCAATGCAAAAGTACCATCATTACAACTAGGTTTAAGATCTCAGAGCTAAGGTTTTCTCCATCCCTAGAGAGGAAGCATCATGGGAAGACGAGGGCATAGAAAAGTTCCCAGGAGGACCTGTGTTTGAATCCTTGCTCTCTCACTATGAAAGTCTAGATTTTTGTTTAGGAAGTGTTCACTTCCTTCTCATCCTGACCTCCACGGGTGGATTTTGATGTTGGCTTGGCCATGTCTCTTGTTTTGGCCAGTTGAAAGTGGATAGAAGTGATGGTTTGTGAGTTTCAAGTGTAAGCCTTAAGGAACATCACATATTTCTGACCTCCACCATGAGAAATACTTGCCAAGGTATCTATCCTGATCCCATAAAAGAAGGGCCATGTGGAGCCAAGCTGCCCTTGCTGACCTGCAGGCCTGCAGCTGCGATGGGAGAAATCAGTGCTTCTTGTGGAATGCTTGTTCATTATGCAGAAGTTGCTGACTTATACAGCTACTTACTAAATGGGTGTCCCTGCCACATCGCTTCACTTCTTTGGTTTCCTCAGATGTAAACTGGGACGGCAATCAGACCCACTTTGAAGGTGGGTACTTTCACCAGCTGGGTGCCCACGCTGCAGAGTGGGTGCCACATCTGAGTGAGAGGGTAAGTTGAAGTGGTTCTGGGGAGCAGCAGAGTGGCTGGGGGTCGAGGTCAGGTGTCCCCGGGTAATGTGGTTGGGTGGACGTGGGGGCAGGGATCATTTTCCTTCCATCTCACTCAGAAGTATGGAAGCAGGAGACTCTGATGGATGTCCCTGAGCAGGTTGTGTTGTCTCCCCCGGCACTCCGGGGGCTAATGCCATCATGTCTCCAGAGCCCCTGCGGAGGCTTCTGGGCTTGTGTTTCCCACCCACAGGCTGCTTACGAGTGAATGATTCCCGTTTCAGAACCCCCTCCCCTTGCCACCAGGCCAATCTTCCACAGGCTGGCTGCCTCAGGGACTTGAGCAGATGGAAGAATGCTGGTGCTCTCCCGCTGAGCAAATCAGTCCCTTTCGGCCACAGTGTCCTGGGCGTAGTGGTGTCGAGGCCATTCCCACTGGTAGGGCCATCATTATCCCTGTGGCTGTGATAAAGCTGCTGCTGGGGAACACCTCCATGATTGCCCAGAGTTTAAGAGCACAAATGTCTGTCATTAGGAGGCCTCAAGCCGTTACTGCTCCCCACGTGGGGTCTCTTTACCTTGCTTTCATTCCATTTTTCCTTGGCCATGACAGATAGATTATGAGGGACTGAAGGAGAACGGCTGTTCCCACTCCCTTCTATTTGCATTTCTAGGGTAATTTCTTCAAATTGGTCTTCTGCCTAGACTCCTTGGAAGGCATCAGGACCCCTCAAGACCCAAACCACATTTCCTGTCACTCCCTCTGTCCCTGTCACTGCTATGGCAGGGGCCACTCATGCCTCCATTAATTCAGGCCCTACGCATGTTCATTGTATATACTATGGACACTGCAACGAACGCTGTGGAAGGGAGTGTTTCTCCCTCTGTGCTCTTCACAGTCCTTGTATGCTCTCCTCACTTTGGATGGCGCTCTCTGTGCTTGGAATGTCCTCCTTCCTTCCTTCTCTTTTTCCCTCCTTCCGGCCTGCCTTCCTCCTTCTTCCCCTTCCCCCACTCCTCCTCTGCTCACGTCTCTCTTTCCCCAGAAAATAGTCATTCATCTATTCAGTCCTTATTGACATGGCACCTGCTTTGTGCAACCTTGCCATGTGTTCTAAGCAGATTTTCTGTGATCCCAAAGATTTCTCTTTAGATTTTTCACACTGTGCTTGTTACAAAAATGTCTACGGTGCCCTACGATCTGTCTCTCCGCCTAGCGAGTGAGGACCTGGTGGACCGAGAAAGTGTTCTATTGATCTTTCTCATGGCACCTAGGACCCTCTCAGTAAGGATTTGTGGCGTGAGTGAGAGAATAGCTGAAGGACAGTCTTGGGTTTTCCCACTGCTAACCCACTTCAGCTATGGCCGAAGTGCATCCTTCTCGGTTCCCAGGAAGCTGATGGGGCGGCAGTCAGCGGGGATGCTTCATTCCAAAGAGATGTAGCTGAAATTTTCCTCAGCCTCAACGTGGCCATCCTCCATTGGTCCCAACGAGACCTGTCCCACTGGCTCTCCAGCCCCTTGTTTGCCCCAGAACTGGTACCTGTTCCTGAGGAAGGCCACCCTTCTGTGGCATGGACCCCTGTGGGTGCTTTCATTTTCGGCAGCAACCATGCCACTTAATAGGCATGAGACCCGGGTTGGGGGTGGGGTGGGGAGGAAAGTCCCGCTAATGATGGACTCTGCAGCTGGCAATTGGTTAGAGTGGGTGTTGGGGCTTAATGTGTAATTTCATGGTTTTTCATGGTCTCTACACTGCAAATTTGAGATGATTGAAAAACATTTTATTTAATTTTCATGCTTTTTTAATCAAAAAAGTTAAAAGACTAATAATATTTTATGGGCAGTTAAAAATGTGCTATTTGCACTGGAGACAGAAATGCCTTCTCCGGAGGAGTGACCCGAGTGGGCATCTAGAGAGGACTCCACAGGGGCTCTGCTGAGGAAGTGTGGGATGGTCTTGGAGACAACTCATTCTTTCAGGTGATGTCCATTTAGGTGCCCTGGGATTCTCCAAGTTCATTCACCGCCCTACACCCCATCCTTTTCATATGGAAGTGACTCAGGAGTGAGCACCTTGTGGGGAGGGCTGGGGTCAGGCCATCTTTACGTTTGGGGAGCCTCGCCTGGTGTCTGTCAGGGGCAGAGGTGCAGAAAATGTTTTCTGAATGAATAAATGAAGCAATGTTTTCCATACTCCCCCTCTGGCAGTCCAAGGGGAGACCTGAAAGCATTCACTCTGTCTTTTCCCCATTGCCACTGGAAGCAGAAGCAGCAGGCACAGCTGAGCTCCTCGCTTGGCGGAAGGGGACTCTGAGGGCATGTGGGTCTAAGAATGTTGGCATGCTGCTTTTTACTTTGGTGAATTCATTATTTACTTGTTGCTTAATTCAAAAATCCCAGACCCAGAAGGACCCGAGAAACTGGGAGTTCAATTTCTTCACTTTACAGATGAAGAAACAGAGTTAACATGGAAGAGGCTCCTTGTTGGGACTTGAATCCCACTTACCTGCTCCCTCCTAATTAGTTAAAAAAATACTTTCTTTTTCTATAATACTTTTTTCATCTCTTGTCGTGAGCTGTTACTCTTCCCAAATTCTGGGATTGCTTTGGGAGAAATAGCCCCTTTTTCCTTCTACCCCCTGCAACTTTGCACAGTTCTCGTTTTTCTGCTTAAGGATTCTGGGGATAAAACCCTCTGGAAACCCAAAGAAATGGACAAAGTCCTCTAGAGAAGTAGAGCACATACAGCAATGCAGAAAGATGCCCCAGTCTGAAAAGGGACCCAGAGACACAGAGAAGGAGATTTGGTCCAGCTCTGGAAATGTTGAGGTTGGAGCCAAACTACCTGGTGAATGCTTTTTCAATCATATAATTGGCAAAGCCCCAAATGTGGCCAGCTGATATGGCAGAGTTTGTCAGCTAGTAGAGCCCCCCAGCTCATTACCAATCCATGGGATAACGATGACCATCATCATAATAATCATTATCGCCTTAGACAGGCGTGGATGACAAAGGCACCCCGGGGACGTCCTTTTGAAATGAGCTGCTTCTTAGCCAACCCTGACTCTCCAGAGTGACTTTCTAGAGAATTAGAGGATCATGAAGCTGGAAGAGGCCCTCCCCTCTGAGATCATCAGTTCTGGCTTTCTGCCTCCAGACAGGACTAACCTTTACAGAAGAGTTGCTGTATAGGAAATCAAACCAAACTTACTTTTATATGTTATTCTTGTGATAGTATCTCTGTTGAGCATTCGATTAAGAAATGGGTTTGATGAATCAGAAACCTAGGAGAGAAAAGACAATATTAACGACTGGGCCCTGCTATCTCAGAATACACATGCCTCTGTACATTCGCTTATTCATTCGTATTCATTGAGTGCCTACCCGGTGCCACAGAGCATGGTGGCTGGAAATTCAGACATTCAAGGCACACACTCTACTCTCAAGAAATCCCAGTCTAGAGAAAGAAGACAGGTGAGTAAATGAATGGTTGTAATGGACTATGAAGATTGCTATGATAGAGTTGCAGGCATGATGATATTAGGGGAAGACCACCCACTGGGGAGTCTGGGGAGCTGAGTGAGCTGGTTCTTGAGGGATGGGTGGAAGCTATAAGGTGCTTTGCTGGTAGAGTATGTAAAGGAAAAAGGGTAAGGAAATAATTGCATACAGAGGGTCTGTGCATATGGACACGAGAGTGAGAACTAGGTATGCTCAGGCAAGTACTCCTATGTAGCTGTTGCTGAGGGTACAGGGGAAGGATGGAAGGTACGGCAAGAGAGGTAGGCAGGGGCTAGCTCATATGAGGCTTTGAATGCCATGGGAGGATATTTAAGCTTCATTCTGTAGGGATGAGAAAACATCAACAAGTTTTAAGTAGAGGGTAGGGAGTGACATTTTAGGAAGGGGACAGTTACTCTAAGAAGACAGTGAGAGAGTACCCAGAACAGAAGCATCAGGGGATGAAAAAAACCTCTAAGACATAATATAGACCCTTATATCACTGCTTATTATTACATGACTCAAATATATCATAAGCCATGCCATTCCATCAGCCAATCATTCATCCACCCATCCATCCATCCATCCATCCATCCATCCATCCATCCATGTGCCCATACATCCAATAAATATGTACCAAATGCCTATTATGGGCCAAACATTGTACTAGATGACCAGGGATCAGTTCCCATTTTGGGCCCAGACCCCAGGTCTCCAAATTCCTTCTTTGGGAGAACAAGGCAAAGTTTAAGGGGCTCAAGCCAGAGGACCAACATTTAGAGACTGTGATGTGCCCCCACTTAACTGTGTACACTGTTTCTTAAAAACCTCCCTTCTACTCAGTCTTTTCCAAGGTGCAAGGGTTTGTCTCAGTCAGTTCTCTCCTACCTCTCTCAGCCCTGCTCTGTAATTTACGCCTCAGCTGCTAATCAGATGCTGTGACACATCAGCATTTTAAATCTGATTTATTCTGAGGGTTGGAAAAATTATAGCAGATGATTATTATTATTAGGTAAGCAACAGGTAATTTTTAGTTTGGAGAAAGCTCATTCTGTTTACTTTCCCTCCATCTGTCTCTCCTTTCCCACACAGTTTCCTGGATGTGCTGTGGTGAGACACACTCCGGGGGGCAGGGGGGAGCTCTGTGAGTGACAATGCTCAGTGGAGTTTGTCAGAGCCCCCCCAAATGGAGAAAAGTCCCAAGGCAAACACTGCTGCTCCCCAGTAGCTTTCAGGGCCAAATTTAGCTTCCCCTTTGGCCTCCTCGTTGGCCATTTGAAACATAGCTTGATGCTGCCTGTTTGTGCTAATTCACATGAGAGGGAAGACAAAAATATACTGTCATGGTCAGTAAGGAATGTGTCATGCCCCTTGTACCTTGGGTTCCTGGTCCCCAGGGAGTCTGGATGGTACGAATGTTGGGACTGGACCTTTTGGGCCGATTAAAAATAACTGACAAATTTCCAGAGTGCACACAGATGATTTGTGGGCTCTGGTGTGTTGGCGGCGTGGGAGGGAGGATGAAGTATGTACTTGGTATAAGTGAGCTTAAGTGGGAAGTTAATGGTGTGTGATTGAGCAGTAATTACAGCCAAATCTCAGTTCCCTGTGGTCATGGATGGGAAGGATGGGGGAACAGGAGGGGACAGAGATAAATAAAACCCACAGATAAACAATTCTCTTATTTTAGCCAACAACTCTGAGCCTTGTATGGCTCTGGTTTTGGCCAGGGTGCCATCTCTAGGGATCATCTGACTCAGAGGAGGGAGCCTCGCGTTTGCTGTGCCTGCCTACCTGGCAGCGAGCTGAGAAGAGGGGCAGAAAGACCAGAAGGAGGGGAGAACAACCAGAGGTGGGGTGCCCTTAGAGCCAAGGGCTCTGTTCATCTCATTTCTAGGTATGTGCCTAGCACAACACCAGCCTGTGTCCCACACTCAGTCGGTGTTTTGGGATGAGTGAGTGACGAGTCTTGGCTTGGATAATTCACTGTGGAGCATGTGGGAGTTGGTTAAGTTGGACAAAGAAAGGTTGTGGCTTATTTTGAGATCCAGTGAGAAAGCTTCAGGTTTGCTGAGGGAAAGAATGGAAGCATCCCTAGGGAGCCCAGCTGGCCTGAGAAGATGCAGGAGCTGGTCCCCATCCTTTCACCGAATGCAGAGCAGGGAACATAAGTTCCTCCCAACAGCCCACTGGGATATAGGCAGCTGGGAGCTGTGTCAGTCATCTTCCTGTAAGTGCTTGGGAAACACACCCATGGTCTGCTGTTGAGGGAGCTGACTTCCTGGCTTATCCAGCACCCTGTCAGCTGTAATGTGTCTGAGCTTGCGGGACGACAGCTACTGACTCAAGCACTTGGAGCAAAGTGAGGTACCAGCAGGGGCTTAGGCTGAGGCGCCCACCCAAGGACAAGCAGTGTTGGGCAGCTCAGGGTGGCAGACATGGAACCCTGGCACTGGGAAGGCCAGCAGGGGAGGTGAGCTCCTGGACACGCACAAGGCAATATTGTGACAGATTTGCAGGCTTCCCAGCACTGAGCATGGCCCAGGATGAATGCACCCATTGTATCAACATCATGACTGAGGCTGGTTGAGGGATACAGAGTTTGCCCTGTGCTTATGTGTGGCATCAGGGCATGGGGGGAGATGTTTACAGGTCATGTCCTCTCTTCTTCATCTCAGTTGTTTCTCTGTGCTCTGTTGGGGAGGCGTGTGGTATGAATAAGGTCATTAGCGTGAAAGTCAAGCAAGACCTGGGCTCCTTTCCTGGATGGGCTGTCATGAGCTCCATGCACTTGGGTGGAATGCCAAAGATTCTTTGTGTCATTTTCCTCATCTGCAAGATAAGGATACTGATGGCCGCCTCATGGGTTTATCATTAGGGTTAAGCCGTAAAATATATGGAAAGTACATATCTCAGTGCCTGGAATTCGGAAATCTGTTGTTCATTATAACAGGGTCTGTGACGATGGCAAGAGATGTAGTATAGGGACTGGCAGGATCTGTGCCAGGAGAGGGAGGAACAGGCAGGGCCAAGTGTCTGTGGCAAAGGGTGATGCTTTTGGGGAGGAAATGGGGGTAGTACCTGGGGTGCCCCCGAGCCCAGTCTCCTGGTCAGTGATCATGTCACCATGAGAACTCTCTTAAAGCCCCCCAGTGGCAAATGCTGGATTTCTACCAATCATATTCATCAGATTCCAAGTTCTGACTGGTCTGGCCTCCCATGGTCTGGCCCAAACTAAGGGGCTAGCACAGTGACCACCAGCTTTTGAAACTGTCACACATTCCTTTTTTTTTTTTTTCTCTTTTTCCAATTGGAAAGACATTTCTTCTTTCTTCATTTTCTTTTAAATTTGCATACCTCCTTCCCTCCGTATCTGTCAAAATGTTAAAGGTGATTATTATTATTATTATTATTTTTAATAAACTGGAATTTTCTTGGCTGGAGATCTGTTGTTGCTGTTGACTGTTGGGGAGATGTGGAGCCTCCTAAGAATGTCATAAAGTCAGCCTTGGTGATCTTCACTTAATTTCTCCCAGGGGTGCTTATGAGGGAAAGAGAGAGGAAGATGGGAGATGTCGTACGGAGCAACTTCAGGGAAGCTGGAGGGGACTGTTCAGGGCAGTGCCTGGAGGGGAGGGACATCTCACATTTCCCTTCCAGCTCTGTTTCCAAGGGGCCACCGAGGGACAGGAGCTTAGTGCCGTGGGGTGTCAGTGAGCCACCACTCTCCTTCTGTTGTTGCATCCTTTTGCGTGCTGTGGGACCTGAAGCCTGTCCCTAGCTCCAACTCCCCTTTTCTCTCTAGAACAAAGGCTGCCGAATCCTCAGGCTCCGAGGCTCTGAAATGGTTCCATCATTTCTGAATCGTCATGAAAGGGACCTCATTTGTCATAAATCTCATGTGTATCAAGGTCACCCTCCTGCAGCTTTTCTTGGGCATGGACCTTACCCCTTGGGTTATTTCAGAGATCCAATAGAGACCAAGCTGGTATTCTGACCGGGCTGGGAAATGGCAAGAAAAGACTGAAAGAAGGCAAAGACACTTACTTTTATAAATATAGAAACTACCACCAATCCATTAGGGCTCTTTGCAGCTTCTGTGACATTTGTATATAACTCATGGTTATAGTGGATGAGCTGCACCTGGCAAGAGGGAAAAACAAGAGTAAGAACAACAATCTCGCCCAAAAGGTGGGAGGCACGGCGTCTCCTCCCTAGATAAAGGTTCACTCCAAGGTATATTGTAGAACAATTGAAAAGACAATCTTGTAATTGAAAGAGATTCAGGAGGTGTGTGTACATGGATGTGTGTGTATAATGCACACACACACACACACACACACACACAAAAGTACCCATACATCTTTGCAAATGTTTTCTGGTAACAATCATGCCTTTAATAAGTTCAGTGCCCATCTGGCTCTGGCTCCGAGCCAGGATATTTCCCCTAAAGCACGTGTAAAATGAAATTCACTTTAGGAATTCTCTTATTAGGAGTATAACTGCCCTGCAGGGGCAGACATGCCCTCCCAGCTGCGTCCACAGCTGCCACGGGCACTGAGCGAATCTTCCTCGTGGGCTTGGGCGAGCAGGGAATGGTTAGGTTCTGAGTCAGCCCAGTGACTCTGAGAGGATAGTGGCCAGCCTATGAGATGTGGCATCCTGATCAAGAGAGAGTGGTGGCTCAGGCTGCCAATGCCCCAGCCTGCCAAGGTCATCTGCTGGTGCAGGACTCAACTTCCTCCTTGCTGAAGGTCAGCAAACTGCTTGTTAAGCCCTCATGCAATAGTTAGCATGGGCAGCAGACAAAGTCTTGGATCTGGGTTCCAGTAAACTAGGTTTTCCCTCTCTTACCTAATTCTTTAAAAAAAAAAAAAAAAGCTTTTTAAAGAAATTGTGAAACATAGCATCCATATATGTCCAAATGAATGCCCCACCAATTTTTAGCCACATGAGTAATAAACTCCGTCTCACTGGAACTTGATTACTTCCTCTGAAAAACAGGTGTGATTGTCTCTCCTTAGAATTCATCTTAGGCTATGGTTTTAAAATAGATTTTTTTTAATAGTATGAAAGTATAATTTTTGTAACAAACTAAAAAAATAAAAAAAGGTGATAGTTCCTCCCCCACCTCTGTGTAATCCCAGCCCAAGCAATATGACTATTAACACTTTAGCATATGTCTTTCCTGATTTTTTTTTGTGCTTATAGATCACACACATAAACATGGAGGGTTTTAAAAATAATAAAAGATCCAGGGTCTATACATTTCTAGGATTTTCTAGGATTGAGGATCCTAGAAATTATCTAGGATAGATAAATTCCGAGAAACATATAACCTACTAACACTGATCTAAGAAGAAATAAAAATCTGAACAGACAATACAAATAAAGAGATTAAAGCAGTAATCAACCCCTCCCTCACCCCCCAACAAAGAAAAGCCCCGGGCCAGACGGCTTTGTGGGTGAATTCTACCAGTCATTCAAATAATTCACGTCCATCCTTCTTAAACTCTTCCAAAAAATGGGAAGAAGAGGGAATACTTTCAAACTCATCTGAGGAGGTCAGCATCACCCTGATACAAAACAAAGACAGACACTTTAGGAAAAGAGAACTACAGGTAATTATTCCCAATGAACACAGATGCAAAAAACATCAACAAGCTGAATTGAATAGCACACTGAAAGGATTATACGTCATCACCACATGGGATATACTCCCATGCAAGGATGTTTTAACATATGTAAGTCAATCAGTGTGATACACCACATTAGCAGAATGAAAGATAAAAACCACATGACCATCTCAATAGATTCAGAAAGAGCATCAGACAAAATTCATCATCCTTCATGATAAAAACTCTCCACAAAACAGGTATAGAAAGAACTCACCTCAATGCAATAAAAGCCATATATGAAAAGCTCATAGCTAATATAATCAATGGGGAAAAACTGAAAACTTTTCCTCTAAGATAAGGATACCCACTCTTGCCACTTTGATACAACAGAGTGCTAGAAGCCCTAGGCAGAGCAATTAGGTAAGAAAAAGAAATAAAAGGCATCCAAATCAGAAAGGAGGAGGGAAAATTTTCTCCACAGATGACATAATCATGTATGAAGCATACACTGAAGACTTGCCCACAACAAAACACTGTAGCACTAATAAATGAGTTCAGTACAGTTGTAGGATACATACTCAGTATACCAAAATTGATGGCACTTCTATATACTAACAAGGAACTATCTGAAAAGGAAATGAATAAAGTCAATCTCATTCACAATTGCAACAGAAAGAATAAAGTACAATTGACCTTGAACAACACGGCTTGAACTGAGCTGGTCCGCTTACATGCAGATTTTTTTTTTTTTTGATATATACAGTACAATATTGTGAAGGTATTTTCTCTTATGATTTTATTTATTTTAATAATTTTTATTTTATTTTTTCAGTGTCCCAAGAGTGTTCATTGTTCGTGAGCCAAACCCAGTGCTCCATGCACTACGTCCCCTCCCTAATACCCACCACCAGGCTCACCTTATCCCCCACCCCTCTCTCCTCCAAAACCCTCAGCTTGTTTCTCAGAGTCCACATGATTTTCTTCTTTTTTTATTAAAGATTTTATTTATTTATTTGTTAGAGAGAGAGAGCGCGCGAGCACAGGCAGACGGAGTGGTAGGCAGAGGCAGAGGGAGAAGCAGGCTCCCCACCGAGCAAGGAGCCCGATGTGGGACTCGATCCCAGGACGCTGGGATCATGACCTGAGCCAAAGGCAGCCACTTAACCAACTGAGCCACCCAGGCGTCCCTGCATGATTTTCTTTTCTTTTTTTAAAAGATTTTATTTTTTATTTATTTGACAGAGATCACAAGTAGGGAGAGAGGCAGGCAGAGAGAGTGAGAGGGAAGCAGGCTCCCTGCTGAGCAGACAGCCGGATGCAGGACTCGATGCCAGGACCCTGAGATCATGACCTGAGCCGAAGGCAGCGGCTTAACCCACTTGAGCCACCCAGGTGCCCCCCCGCATGATTTTCTTAATAGCACTTTCTTTTCTCTAGCTTATTTTATTGTAGAATACAGTAGTGTACAAAATATGTATTAATTGACTATGTTATCAGTAAGGCTTTTGGTCAACAGTAGGCTATTAGTAATCAAGTTTTTGTGAAGTCAAAAGTTAAACAGGAATTTCTGACTGTATGGGGGGGTTGGTGCCCCTAACTCTTGCATTGTTCAAGGGTCAGCTATACTTAGGAATAATCTTAACCAAACAAATGAAAGATTTGTACACTGAAAACTATTAAACATTGATGAAAGAAATTAAAGAAATAGGTAAATGGAAAGACATCCCATGTTCATGGGTTGGAAAAATTAATATTGTTAAAATGTTCATACTACTGCTATTCAGCTCAATCCTTATCTGAATTCCAATGGCATTCTTTATAGAAATAAAAAAAAAATTCCTAAAATTAGTATGGAACCACAAAAGACTCTGAGTAGTCAAATCAATCTTTTATTTATTTATTTATTTTTAAAAATATTTTATTTATTTATTTGACAGGAAGAGATCACAAGTAGGCAGAGAGGCAGGCAGAGAGAGAGGAGGAAGCAGGCTCCCTGCTGAGCAGAGAGCCCGATGCGGGACTCGATCCCAGGACCCTGAGATCATGACCTGAGCTGAAGGCAGAGGCTTTAACCCACTGAGCCACCCAGGCACCCCTCAAATCAATCTTGAATAACAACAAAGCTTCCTGGTTCCACAATATAGGTCAAAGCTATAGTAATAGAAAAAAGTATGATACATAAAAACATACATATAGACCAATGGAACAGAATGGAGGATCCAGAAATAAATCTGTACACTTATGGTCAACAGATCTTTGACAAGGATGCCAAGAATACACAATGCACAAAGGATAGTCTCCTCAATAAAGGATGTGGGGAAAGCTGGGTATTCCCTGGAGAAAAATGAAATTGAACCCTTATCTCATGTCACATAAAAAAATTAACTTAAACTGTATTAAAGACTTATTTACAAGACCTGAAACTGTAAAATAGTAGAAGAAAATGGAGGGGAAAACTTCTTGACATTCATTGGTCTTGGCAATGGCTTTTGGGTCATGACACCAAAAAGTACAGGTAATAAAAGCAAAAGTAGGCAAGTGGGACTGTATCTGAAAAGCTTCTGCATGGCAAAGGAAACAAAACAGTGAAAAGGCAACCTACAGAGTGGGAGGAAATATTTGTAAGCCAGGTAGCTAATAAGGGGTCCATATCCAAAATACACAGGGAGCTCATATAACTCAACAGCAAAAACCCAAATAACCTGGTTAAACATGGGCAAAGGATGTGAATTGATATTTCTCAAAATAAGACATATAAATGGTCAATAGGTACATAGAAAGGTGCTCAACATCACAAGCCATCAGGGAAATGCAAATCAAAACCACAATGAAATATCACCACACACTTGTTAGAAGGACTATTAAAAAGACAAGAGATTATAAGTGTTGGTGAGGATGTAGAGAAAAGGGAACCCTTGGACACTGTTGGTAGAAAAGTAAACTGGTATGTCACCATTATGGAAAACACTAAGGAGGGCCCTCAAAAAATTAAAAATAGAACTGCCATATGATTCAGTGATTCCACTACTGGGTATGTATCCAAAGCAAATGAATTTGGATCTCAGAGAGAGACATTGGCAGTCCCATGTTCATCACAGCATTATTCGCATTAGCCAAGATATGGAAATAACCCAAGTTTCTGTTGATGAATGAATGAATAAAGAAAATATGTGAAGAAAAATAAGATGGAATATTATTCACCCACAAAACGAAGGAAATCCTGCCATCTGTGACAACCTGGATGAACCAGGGGGACATCATGGGAAGTGAAATGAGCCAGAAAGAGACTTACTGTATGATCTCACTTATGTATAGAATCTCAAACAGTCAAACTCAGAGAAACAAAATATAGCTTGGTGGTTGTCAGGGGCTACAGGGAAACAGAAATGTGATGTTGGTCCAAGGGTACAAAGTTTCAGTTACGCAAGAGACATGAGTTCAGGGGCTCTGAGTACGGCATGGTGATGCTAGTTCGCAATACTGTATTGCCTACTTGAAGTTTGCTAAGAGCACAGATCTTAAATT